AGCTTAGAAATCGCATAACTATGTCAAAAATGAATTAATTTCAATTCGGAAAGCGTTCCTGTGTTAGTTGTTTGGCGCTTAACAAATCTGCATACTAAATTTTACTTTTTAGGAGATCCAATATTTTTTAGATTTTTGTGATGAAACCCCTTGAATTTTTTTCAGAAATTGGAAATGTCTGTTTTGCTACCTGAGATGGCCAGAACGATTCGCCTGTTAATGCTGATCAAGAATATATATGATTTATAGGGTCGGAAATCGCTCCTTCACTGTTAAAAATTATATTTTCCGCTGCAAGATTCCTAAAATCGATATTTTTATTTGATAATTTTTTTAACAGTATTTTTTATATCATATTTTTTGGGACAACCCAATCTTAGAAATCGCATAACTATGTCAAAAATGAATTAATTTCAATTCGGAAAGCGTTCCTGTGTTAGTTGTTTGGCGCTTAACAAATCTGCATACTAAATTTTACTTTTTAGGAGATCCAATTTTTTTAAGATTTTTGTGATGAAACCCCTTGAATTTTTTCCAAGAAATTGGAAATGTTTGTTTTGCTATCTGAGATGGCCAGAACGATTCCCTTGTTAATGCTGATCAAGAATATAAATAATTTATGGGGTCGAAAATGGCTCCTTCACTGTTAAAAATTATATTTTCCGCTGCAAGATTCCTAAAATCGATATTTTTATTTGATAATTTTTTTAACAGTATTTTTTTATATCATATTTTTTGGGACAACCCAAGCTTAGAAATCGCATAACTATGTCAAAAATGAATTAATTTCAATTCGGAAAGCGTTCCTGTGTTAGTTGTTTGGCGCTTAACAAATCTGCATACTAAATTTTACTTTTTAGGAGATCCAATATTTTTTTAGATTTTTGTGATGAAACCCTTGAATTTTTTTCAGAAAATTGGAAATGTCTGTTTTGCTACCTGAGATGGCCAGAACGATTCGCCTGTTAATGCTGATCAAGAATATATATGATTTATAGGGTCGGAAATCGCTCCTTCACTGTTAAAAATTATATTTTCCGCTGCAAGATTCCTAAAATCGATATTTTTATTTGATAATTTTTTTAACAGTATTTTTTATATCATATTTTTTGGGACAACCCAATCTTAGAAATCGCATAACTATGTCAAAAATGAATTAATTTCAATTCGGAAAGCGTTCCTGTGTTAGTTGTTTGGCGCTTAACAAATCTGCATACTAAATTTTACTTTTTAGGAGATCCAATATTTTTTTAGATTTTTGTGATGAAACCCCTTGAATTTTTTTCAGAAAATTGGAAATGTCTGTTTTGCTACCTGAGATGGCCAGAACGATTCGCCTGTTAATGCTGATCAAGAATATATATAACTTATAGGGTCGGAAATGGCTCCTTCACTGTTAAAAATTATATTTTCCGCTGCAAGATTCCTAAAATCGATATTTTTATTTGATTTTTTTTTTAACAGTATTTTTTATATCATATTTTTTGGGACAACCCAAGCTTATAAATCGCATAACTATGTCAAAAATGAATTAATTTCAATTCGGAAAGCGTCCCTGTGTTAGTTGTTTGGCGCTTAACAAATCTGCATACTAAATTTTACTTTTTAGGAGATCCAATTTTTTTTAAGATTTTTGTGATGAAACCCCTTGAATTTTTTCCAAGAAATTGGAAATGTTTGTTTTGCTACCTGAGATGGCCAGAACGATTCGCCTGTTAATGCTGATCAAGAATATATATGATTTATAGGGTCGGAAATCGCTCCTTCACTGTTAAAAATTATATTTTCCGCTGCAAGATTCCTAAAATCGATATTTTTATTTGATTTTTTTTTTTAACAGTATTTTTTATATCATATTTTTTGGGACAACCCAAGCTTAGAAATCGCATAACTATGTCAAAAATGAATTAATTTCAATTCGGAAAGCGTTCCTGTGTTAGTTGTTTGGCGCTTAACAAATCTGCATACTAAATTTTACTTTTTAGGAGATCCAATATTTTTTTAGATTTTTGTGATGAAACCCCTTGAATTTTTTCAGAAAATTGGAAATGTCTGTTTTGCTACCTGAGATGGCCAGAACGATTCGCCTGCTAATGCTGATCAAGAATATATATGATTTATAGGGTCGGAAATCGCTAGTTCACTGTTAAAAATTATATTTTCCGCTGCAAGATTCCTAAAATCGATATTTTTATTTGATAATTTTTTTAACAGTATTTTTTATATCATATTTTTGGGACAACCCAATCTTAGAAATCGCATAACTATGTCAAAAATGAATTAATTTCAATTCGGAAAGCGTTCCTGTGTTAGTTGTTTGGCGCTTAACAAATCTGCATACTAAATTTTACTTTTTAGGAGATCCAATTTTTTTAAAGATTTTTGTGATGAAACCCCTTGAATTTTTTCCAAGAAATTGGAAATGTTTGTTTTGCTATCTGAGATGGCCAGAACGATTCCCTTGTTAATGCTGATCAAGAATATAAATAATTTATGGGTCGAAAATGGCTCCTTCACTGTTAAAAATTATATTTTCCGCTGCAAGATTCCTAAAATCGATATTTTTATTTGATAATTTTTTTTAACAGTATTTTTTATATCATATTTTTTGGGACAACATAACTATGTCAAAAATGAATTAATTTCAATTCGAAAAGCGTTCCTGTGTTAGTTGTTTGGCGCTTAACAAATCTGCATACTAAATTTTACTTTTTAGGAGATCCAATATTTTTTTAGATTTTTGTGATGAAACCCCTTGAATTTTTTTCAGAAAATTGGAAATGTCTGTTTTGCTACCTGAGATGGCCAGAACGATTCGCCTGTTAATGCTGATCAAGAATATATATAACTTATAGGGTCGGAAATGGCTCCTTCACTCTTAAAAATTATATTTTCCGCTGCACGATTCCTAAAATCGATATTTTTATTTGATTTTTTTTTAACAGTATTTTTTATATCATATTTTTTGGGACAACCCAAGCTTAGAAATCGCATAACTATGTCAAAAATGAATTAATTTCAATTCGGAAATCGTTCCTGTGTTAGTTCTTTGGCGCTTAACAAATCTGCATACTAAATTTTACTTTTTAGGAGATCTAATATTTTTTTAGATTTTGTGATGAAACCCCTTGAATTTTTTTCAGAAAATTGGAAATGTTTGTTTTGCTACCTGAGATGGCCAGAACGATTCGCCTGTTAATGCTGATCAAGAATATATATAACTTATAGGGTCGGAAATGGCTCCTTCACTGTTAAAAATTATATTTTCCGCTGCAAGATTCCTAAAATCGATATTTTTATTTGATTTTTTTTTTAACAGTATTTTTTATATCATATTTTTTGGGACAACCCAAGCTTAGAAATCGCATAACTATGTCAAAAATGAATTAATTTCAATTCGGAAAGCGTTCCTGTGTTAGTTGTTTGGCGCTTAACAAATCTGCATACTAAATTTTACTTTTTAGGAGATCCAATATTTTTTTAGATTTTTGTGATGAAACCCCTTGAATTTTTTTCAGAAAATTGGAAATGTCTGTTTTGCTACCTGAGATGGCCAGAACGATTCGCCTGTTAATGCTGATCAAGAATATAAATAATTTATGGGGTCGAAAATGGCTCCTTCACTGTTAAAAATTATATTTTCCGCTGCAAGATTCCTAAAATCGATATTTTTATTTGATAATTTTTTTAACAGTATTTTTTTATATCATATTTTTGGGACAACCCAAGCTTAGAAATCGCATAACTATGTCAAAAATGAATTAATTTCAATTCGAAAAGCGTTCCTGTGTTAGTTGTTTGGCGCTTAACAAATCTGCATACTAAATTTTACTTTTTAGGAGATCCAATATTTTTTTAGATTTTTGTGATGAAACCCCTTGAATTTTTTTCAGAAAATTGGAAATGTTTGTTTTGCTACCTGAGATGGCCAGAACGATTCGCCTGTTAATGCTGATCAAGAATATATATAACTTATAGGGTCGGAAATGGCTCCTTCACTCTTAAAAATTATATTTTCCGCTGCAAGATTCCTAAAATCGATATTTTTATTTGATAATTTTTGTTAACAGTATTTTTTTATATCATATTTTTTGGGACAACCCAAGCTTAGAAATCGCATAACTATGTCAAAAATTAGATAATTTCAATTCGGAAAGCGTTCCTGTGTTAGTTGTTTGGCGCTTAACAAATCTGCATACTAAATTTTACTTTTTAGGAGATCCAATATTTTTTTAGATTTTGTGATGAAACCCCTTGAATTTTTTTCAGAAAATTGGAAATGTCTGTTTTGCTACCTGAGATGGCCAGAACAATTCGCCTGTTAATGCTGATCAAGAATATATATAATTTATGGGGTTGGAAATCGCTCCTTCACTGTTAAAAATTATATTTTCCGTTGCAAGATTCCTAAATCGATATTTTTATTTGATAATTTTTTTTAACAGTATTTTTTTATATCATATTTTTTGGGACAACCCAAATTTAAAAATCGCATAACTTTGTCAAAAATGCGTTAATTTCAATTCCGAAACTGCTCCTGCGTTAGTTATTTGGCGCTTAACAAATCTCTATACTAAATTTAACTTTTGAGAATTCCAATTATTTTTAACAAATCTGCAATCTAAATTTAACTTTTAAGAAATATATTTTTTTTTAGATTTTTTACAATTTTAATGATGTAACCCCGTAAAATTCAATATAAGAACCTTGAAACTAAGTGAAGGAGTTATTTCCGAGCCTATTGATCTTAGGCAGTTTTATTAACCATATTAAAATGAACATAAACACGCTTTCCGAATTGAAATTATTGCATTTTTGGATGAATTATAAGTTTATTACGGTTTGATTTGTAGTAAAATTTGCATATAAAATTATAGTTAGTGTTGATTAAAAAATGGTAATTCACCTTCAGTCAGCAGCTAAAAACTAAGTGAAGGAGTTATTTTCGAGCCTTAATGAAACTTGAATAAATCGTATTTATTCTAATTTGTATTACTTACTTGGCACACAATCCCGATTGGTGGCGCCTCCAAAGTCCTGGTTGTTGCTCTGATCATTCGAGGAGCAGGTGAAGCCCAAGGCCGGATTATTGAACTGGGCGGATGTGGGCGTGGTGCAGGACGATAATCCGCTGCTAGCCAAATAAGGAGAATAAGCCGAGGCCGCTGATCCATAGCCCCAGTGCGTATTGCTGGCACCTAAGATGTAAATAAATATACAATTTTATAACAATTAATTTAAAAATACTTAATAATGAATACAAGAAGAAGAATGCAGAAAATTAACTTGAAATTAGATGTGTAAAAGCTAAGAACATATATTTATTTTAAGCTTACACACAGCTTATACAGAATATTTTATTTTTCTCCATGCACCATAACTTTAAATAGAAATTAAGAGACTACAATAAAGTCCTAAGGATACAAGATAATCCCCAAGAGAATTGCGATTTTTTTGGCCCAAATTTATGGCCAATACGGGCCACTAATTGGAGGTTATCGCCTCTTCACACCAGAGCCATTTTCCGGCTCTGTATCTCCTCGCTCATTATGCGGGACGACCTCTTCCGCCATTTTGCATAAAAGACAAAAAAAAAATGAGAACGCCAAAAATCACAAACAAATCATTGAAATGAACCGACCAAAGTCCTGCCAAAAACATCGTTTGGCAATTTTTCGATTTTTGCTGACCATCGACGGGGTCCAAAACAAAAACCGGTAGCTCTGCTCACCAACCAGGATCAAAAATGGGGATTTTCCAAGGGACACGCGGCGGTTGGCAACGGTGGCGGCAAAGAGTCAACATTTTGCGGGTCGCCGGGACCCATGCACAGATAATTAGGCTTAATTAATAGCCCATTCGGAAATTATTAATTAGTTTTTATAGGCGACGGGCGCATTTTCGTAGCCGGATATTGATTTTGTGGTGGCTTTATTAATGCTATTGGCTTAAATGTTTCTACCTCCATTAATTACGTGGCTTTTTGTGTACAATTTTCTCTGTGGGATGTGGGGCTGGTCTGAACACCGGGCTGGACTATGGCTGTGTCCTGTCATTATCTGACGATGGTGTGCGAGAGCGGTTAGTCCGCTTGTTTGTTGTCACACTGATTGACTTTATTTGCGCATATTTTTCGGGCCCTGAATTATTAACAAGAAAAACCCCGGGACAGAGGACACAATTTGGGGGTATACAAAAAAAATGAGTGGGAACGGAGCTTCGGAAAAAAAATCCAGGCAGAAATGAAAAACAAATCTAGTTAGTGGTATTGCTTTCGAGTAAAAATTTCATAATTAAAACTTCGCTTTTAAGAATTCTTTAAGTCACTTCCGGATTGGTATTCAAGAAATATTTTAAAACATACTTTCTTAGAGACTTTGGAGAACTAGAGATAGGAAAGATATTTTTGTTGTATATTTTGATTAGTTAAAATCAACAATAAATCTTCTTCATTTATAACTTGTAAAACTTTATAACTTTACATATAAGTTATTACTTATATTATTATTATTACATTATACTTTAAATATTTTCAATGCAAAACCCTTCTTTTTATGATGGTTACACATTTAATAAAATTAATTAAATACATTTTATTATTATATTATAATCTATAGTATAATAGTAATATTCTATACAATTTATCTGTATGGTTTTCCCCTATTTATCATAATCTTCTCGATAAGATATTTAGTATAAACAAAAAAATACTCAACTAGCTTATATATATTTACTATACATTTTCTGCCTTACACTTAAAAAACATTCACCTTTTTTATGCCATATCCTTGCTACAATATCCTTGTTATTCATCTCATAATTTTATATTAAAACCCAAAAAAATTTTACTTCAATATAATAAAACAATATTACATTTAAGCCAATATTTCGATAAACCATAAAAGTCCTTTAACTCCTTTAAAAAATGTAAAGTCCTTGCTCTTCACTTTCCGGTCGGGTTTCATGTATATTTCGTTTCGATTCGGTTTGTATTTTACTGTTTCCACTTTTTTTTTGCGAAATTAATAAAATATATGCCAGTAATTAAGTCAAGCAGCGACTGTCAATAAAATTTGTTAATAAATAATTCAGAATATTTTGCTTTTTGCATATTTACAATTAATTTATGGGTAATCAGTATCAACAGACGCTTTCAGTAATCGTTATTTACTTGTGTGTGCACGGGGATATATATGTTTATATATTTACATATATCACATATACATATATATATATATATATTTGTGGACTATGTAATGTCCTTTTTGGCTCGGTAAAATGTCAGAGTCCTGTAAATCGTGCAATTTGCATTTTGATTTGTGCACTGGGCTAGACGGTAAAATATTGACAGTCTCCCTTGCTCCACCAACCAATTCCGGCATTATGGGGTTAAAACGGGGGGCTGCTGATGAAATTGGCAGGCAATTTGCGCATTGATTGAGTTGCATTTTATATATATTTATGGTGAATTTTTGTTTGCATTTATATATATATAAATATATATATATTGTTAAGTTCACCGGAATCGTTTTGGTCGGCAGCGGTAATGAAGGATAAGTGGTTACAAGTAGCACTGCGAAGGCCGCAAAAAATAATTGACGAGGCGTAGAAAACAAAATTCAATTAAGGTTAATATTACCGCTTTTCCTACATCTTAATTAATAAAATAAATTCATATTTCTCAGCTCAACTTATATGTATAGTATTTCACTTACCAAAAAAAAAGAGTTCTTTACATATTCTTTAAAGGCCCTCACTTTTTTTGTGCTTCAATATTGCCTACTTAAATATCGTTAATATGTTAATTTTATTATTCTCTGCTTTTTTAATAGCATGAAGCTCTAAAGAGAAAATCACAATATATTTTTTATATATTTATAATATGTATTTTTTGCCTGCGGCAGCTAGTTGGTCAGTGTCTAGTCCGGCTTTTGTAGCTTTTGTTGCTCTTGTTGTAATGCAATTAATTGTCAATTTAAATTGAAACATCAAATTTAATATAAATGCATTTTAAAATGTACAATTAAATTTATTTCACCTACGCACGCATAAGCATAAAAACAATCAAAAAAAAAAAAAAAAATGGTCTCCCACAATATTAATTATTGATTTTGTTATAAATATTCAAGCGATAGAGGTGGGTAAGGATATAAAAGGATACGAGGGTGTTGCTATAATAGGAAATAGTGGAAAAGATACTCTGGAAATCGGTGATAATGTCCGAACTTAGAGTAAGTATAAAATATAGTAGGGGAATTTTTAAAGACATTTTATTAAATTAAAGAAAAACACCTTATTTCAAACCCTTATAAAAATTAACAAAACAAAGTTAAAGTTATTAAAGGGAATAGGAAAATAGAAACTCAATTAACAATTCCCTAAAATAATTCTTTTACGATAATTTCCTGCTCTCTACTAACAACCAATTCCATTAATTAAAATTCCAATAAAATAATAAACTATCCAATTAATTAGAGAACTTTAATGGTAAGTATCTCATGATTCGGACTCTTTTCATTATGAATACCATTTTTCCTGCTTAGTGCCCGAGCTGTCAAATTTGTTTATATTCGCTTGGTTAAATGCATTAAATTTATCTGACTGCCGCATAAAAATGCTATGTAGCTTTTCATTTAAATCATAATTTGTTTGCGATGCTCTGATTTATGCACACATTTTTTTTTAGGCTTCGACTTTTTTAACCACTTGCCACCCCAAAAACCCCACTCGGCGTGTGATTGTGTTTGACCAACGTTTATTTGTTTGTATAGTAAACTTTGGTTAAATAAAGTGGCCAACAGTTTAACAGCCATAACACCGAGCCCACTTAGCTGGGCAAAAAAAAAAAAGAAAACAACAAAAAAAAAAGCATATATGGCCAAAGGTGACCCGCAATTTTACCACATTCAAATGGTCGCCCAACGACAACAATACAGAAAAGGAAAAAAATAAATAGCTATTTTTATTTCCGGTGCTTAAAGCGTACAAAAGTTATAAGTCATAATTAGTGCAATGAAATTTTGATATATTTTTTAAATAAATTTCTTAGGAAGTTTCTTTGAAAATCTTAATCAAGCTTTAGAAGAGGATTATTAACTTCTGAGGTAGTTATTTTCCTTTTATCAATTTGAATTTAATGTCCAAGATACGGTGAAGCTAAGCTTTTTTACTTATATGTATTAATAATTTATTTCTCGGTTTTTATCCTTTCTTTCTTTGTCTGTTTTAACGATGTTACTATTTCTTTGCAGCTGTGATATCCTTAAGATCAGAACATTAAGGACTATTTATTTTAGGGACTTATTTATAGGGGCATGTATTAAAATAAAATTTTATTAAAGGTGCAATATTTTGGACTGTCCAATGATCTCCTCTAAATACATTTTATATTTTTCATTAACTTTTATTTCATTTTTATAGCTTATTCGTACATATTTCACAATTATAAACCTCTAACTAGAATAATCTTATTCTCCGAAATATTTGTGAATAAATTTCGCTTCACTTTTAGTTCCTAAAATAATAAATTAAATAAAATTCATAAATATTCCGAGGCACTTGGCCTTAAATATCTGAAAGTGTTTGAAAGGCTTGGCTGCCTAATCGCTTTTTTGTGTGATTTTCTGTGGTTGCGTTTATGGGTGCACCACATGCCCCACCACACTTTAGACTTTTACTATTGTTGCCCTGCGGTTGCAACATTTTAATCTACAAAATACAAATTACAAAATAAAAAAAGAAACTCAACTGAAAACTTAATAAAGAGAAACTTTAAGGAAATTGAATACAAATATATATTGCTGGAATATGTTATTATAATATATTATATTATATACTCACTCTGACAATTGCCAATGGGTGGCATCCGGAAGCCGGATAGCGGATCCGTGGAAAAGTGGAAAGGTCTCTGGCCAAATGCAAAGTGAAACTGCTGCTGCTGTCCTAAAAGGGATAACACTAAGTTTTTTCAGTTTTAATTTTCTGTCCTTAACTAGATGGTTTCTTGCGTTGGCCCAATGATTGCTCGCAATTAAATCTATACTTTTTAGAATAGTGTAAGTAATTTAAGATATGAAAAAGCTTCGTTTTTTAGATGACTTTTTGATTTTAAATATATAAATAAAATTAATTTGATTAGGAAAGTGATTTAAATGTAAATAACTCAACATTTATTACTTAGGAAGTTAAGTTCACTCTGAAAGTGTATCTTATTCACATTTTGTTTGATTTTACTTTAAAGAAATAGGTTTACAAACTTAAAAATTGTTCGTTTAAGCTCATGAAACTCTTTTCTACTCTTTCCATTAATTATTAATTATTGAAAACCTTTTTTGGAAAATAAATTACTTTGCTGAACTGCGAACAACCACTGAACTGTGTATGTGTCTGTGTGAATCCTTAAATGACTGCATTTAGTTTATTTGTGTCTGTGGGTGTATATGTGGGGAAAACTTAAATGACAAGCAGTTGATGAATGAAATTCGGTTTGCTTTCGATTCACTTAAGATGTAAGAAAGGTCTCGGTTCTCGTTGCCTCGCTTTTCCCGCATTTTCCCGAACCCTTTTCCCCTTTTCCCCCGCATGTTGTCAAACTATTGACAATGGACTTTGTGTGTATGTGAAAGTGAAATGACAATGGCCCAAAAAACTTTATCCAACTGGCGACACTTTTGGCTAAATTGTGGCCCCCCATCACCCCTTGGGCGGTGCCCAGTTATCTGCCAGATTGTATTCATTATAAATAATAACCTTTTGTCTGCAGCTTAAAGCCCCAAACCGAGGCATACATATACATATATGTGTGTGTGCATCTCTTTCTGTCTGGCATTCTGGGACATATAAATCATTTCATGGATTTGCATTTGTTGCTCACCCTTCTCTTTCTAACATTATATCGTTCTCTCTCTCTATTCTCTGCTCTAAATTCTCCCTTCACCAATTCTCGGCTTGGACTGAAACCAGATTACACAGACCAGCAAAACTTTCGGACTCCGACCCTTACGGCGCCTGAACATATGCAAAGTAAAATATTTGCATCCTTATAAATATGTAAAGGGGGAGTATGTCTATGTATGTGTGATAGAGCTGTCTAATGAATATTCCTTGAAGAAATTCAGGAATCCAAAGCGAAATGAAGTGCAGTATTAGCAGGCAAATGTCCTAGCTACAACAGCACAAATCTCGAGGAAGGAATTAAGACCCAAGAACAAAAAGAGAGATGAGGATTTTGTAATATTTCAAGGAAGTACTTGACAGAGATGTGTAGTGCTTGATGCAATGTGTACTATGTATTTTAAATATAATATATATATTACTTTTTGAAACTTAGAAATATATATCTCTTCTAGTGCTTAGTATACATTATAGATTAGTTTTTCCCTTTCAAAAATTTCTATAAATAAAGGTCCTTCTATTTTACCTTACATTTCTAGAAATCAAAATTTTAGACGCCATTTTAGTTACATCTCTGACTTCAGCAATAATAAAATCTCTAGCCTAGGTCCAGGACTCAAACTCCTGTCGATCCTATCTCAATGTCTGCAACTCTGTGAGTGTTTCTGGGAATGAGAACTACCTACTTCTGCTGTTGCTTCTGCTACTGTTAGAGCAATTTATCTATTTGGCAACTAATAAATTGTTATGCATTGTCCTGCAAATGAAATGCTCCCCCTTCCCCCCAAGAAAAAGGGGGACAATTAGGGTGAGGAAAACAAGGAACCAGAAACGAGAAAACGCTTTTCCAACTCAAATTGCTCTACTTACTTGTCTTGGAGCGGGGTTCGCGTGGCCCATCGACAGTCACTTTGATCGCCTTGTTGTAGGTGGCTATGTGCGGTGGATTCGTTGACACGGTGATGGTTAGCGTGAAGCTTTTCCCTGGAAAATATAAAATAATAAACAAATTTATGAGATTTGCCAAGAACATTTGCTATGCCTAATGGCGGAAAGACATGCTAGCCATCAATAAATTTGTTTTGTTTTGGGGTTTGCTTTTTTGGTGTGTTTTTTGGGGTATTGTCACATCGTAAAAATGTTGGTGATTAAACAATAACTACCGGGTTGTAAGGAATGGTTAAAGAACTCCTCATCGATTGATAAATGTATAAAGACTATTTTGTTAACAAACATTTTCTAATTATTTCAACTTAACTCTTGTGTAAGTCTCCTGTTTCTTTTTTTTAGCTTAAAAGACAATACCTCATTTGCATTCGCTTCATGGCTGACTCCTTTACCCTTTCCTCGCATATCCTTTAGAAATACAGAATTAATTACAATTTAAACTGATTTAGTCTGCAGTGTTTTTTCCTTCCCCCAAAACCATTCATTCACATATGCTTCTTTGCGAGTGAGTTTCTTTCACTTGAAGATTTATTTCGTTTGCGCCGCAGTTTTCTTTTAATTAACTTGTTTCAGTCCACCATCATCCCCTCAGTCTTTTCTTGGCCATTGTCATTGTCATTGTCAAGTGTTGCCAGGAGGCAAGTTGCCTTTTTGTTTGGCACTCTAGCCATTTTTTGTTGAGATTCAATTAAAAGCATTTTTGGCTCCTTAAGCCGCGTCGCCTTCCTGTGTCTCCGTATGTCCCTGTATTTTGTCTATGACAACGCGGCGTATGTGGGATGTGAGATGTGAGATGATGGGCCAATGGGGCGTATGTGTGCTGGAGTCAGAGGGTTTGCTTTTTAAGTTGACAAACAAAGCGTAAATCATTTCGGCACATACAAATAAACCGCCGACGTACCCAAACCCCTTGAAATAAAATATATATATAAAGAAATATATATATATCTGTGCTCAGACATAGCTGGAGCTTACACATGTTCCTGGCACACTCCACTTGGCCCACACAATATCCACTGATTTTCCGCCTTGATTTTTCCCCAGCCCACTTTCCGTAAAAAATGAAGTCTCGAGTGGCAAACCCAAGATGGGGGGAAAAACACTTTTCTGTTTATTGCCATCAAGTGCAGTTCATTGTTGCGCAATACTTTGCCACTTTTTTAGGGGGAAATTCAGCTGCTTCCTGGGAAAGGTCGTGGGTAAGACTGAGATAAGGCAATATATAATCGATCATTAAGGGGACTTGGAAAAAGGATTTCTTATAGAAAAATACTTTGTCTTTAAGATAAATTAATGATTTTTAAGGTTTAGTAAGCTAAAATAATATTTGCAAGTAAAGTTCGTATAATAAACTCCTATTATATTCCTTCATTTCTATTCTGATAAATAATTAATTGCTTAAATTATAAATCAGAGTGTCTGAATAATTAAATTTATAGAAATATTCTCCGAAATTTCAACAACCATATTACCATAAATTCAAGAATAATAAAGATGAAGTCTTTCCACCTTTGAATGACACTCAAATATGACGCCCAATGTGACCCAATTGATTGCTAATCCCAGAGATTTCCCTTTACCAACTCGAAGGCGCATAACATTCATCTTAATCTCACCGAAAACTGCGACAAATGGATACGTCAACACTTGAGATGAGCATGACATTTCCGTGTGTGGGTGTGGCGACATTTAAAATCAAATCCTGTTGACAAATAACCTGAAATCCTTGCCAGCTAAATCCCCGTCCATTTACCGTTGCACAGGCGTCATAAATCAATTTGGGGGCGTAATGAAATACACACTCGCACAGGAGGAGAGAGGCTCTACGCATACACAGGACATAAGGAACAAACAAAAGGACATCTGTCAATACTTGCGGCTGCGTCGCAAATCACCAAGAAAACAACATCCAGGAACCCCTGCCACATATCACACATAATCGTGTTGGCGTGGCTTACGAATTACAATTTACGGATTAAATGCAATTAAAATTTTTGATACGCAACATGAGCCCCATGCAAATATATAATACACTTGCCTGGGTTTTGGGGTAAATGTATGCCTTCTGCGGAAGCCCTAAATTAAGCCTTTGTCTTAGATTAAATTTTATTAAATTCTCATACATTTTATAGGAGAATTTCTTAACTAAAAACAACCTAACTTTAAGGGCTTTGGATTGGATTTTAATTTAAAAATATTTATAAAATATATAGATATAAAATGAGGCCTTGAAACCAAGAAATATAAGCAAGCAATGTATTTGTTGAAAACAATTAATATATTAGAAAATCACTCTTTTAAAACTGAGTTTTAATGTCTGTTCTTATCTTTTTATGGAAAACAGTTAGTATTTATGATCAGATTATTTTACAGAATTTTATAGCTTAAAAACATTTAAATGGAACCCTTATACCCCAAATTATACACATAAATATAATACAAATAACCCTTAACTTAGAAAAATATAAAATACTTTAATATATATTTCAAAAATCTATAACTCAATTTTACAGGTAACTTCAATCCTTTACTTGAGTATTATTTGTTTGTTTTTTTTGCTGTTTGGCTTCACTTCACTTGTAAGCCAAAAAGACTAAGCCTTGGAAAAGCCTGAAAAAGCCAGCCAGTAAGTCGGCCCAACACCGAAATAAAAACATTTTGCGGCTTTCTTGGTTTTCATCTTTTTTTTGTTTTGTTTGTTTTGTTTGTTTTCTGGCTGATATCCTGCCTGTGTTTACCTGAGGGTGGAAAAATATAGCCCCCTCAAATGATTGATTGCACGTGTGGATTGTGGAAAGTTGAGAAGGGAGTTAAAGGATTTGAGTGATTTTTTGGGTACAATTGGAGAATGGGTTTATCTTTGAGTTGGACAATAAATGTCAGTTATGGACAAATATTTAGTCAGGAAACTTTTATTGAATGTTATATTGAGATTTCAGGCTTGAAACTTGAAATAGACGTTTTCTTAGAATTAAATATATAATTTAGTGTAGGATTTTAGCAGACTTTAACTTATTTTTTAGTTATCTAAATTGGATTTTTATAAATATATATAATAAAGGTATTTGAATGTTATGAAATTTTGAAAGGCAAATTCACCGAGCTTGCATTTTTCTGACAATATATAGCTTTTTATGTAGGGTTTTTTCAAATACTTAAAAATTATACAACTTATTAAAAGTTATTGCAATTTTAAAGTCAGCTTTCACCGAGTTTATGGTTAAATTTAATAGAATTACTGCCGCTTGGTTCATTACTGGCCACTGGCCATTTCATTCCCTCATCTAAGTTGCATTAAATCTGCACTGCGCCCATGGGGCGTATGAGTGATTTACGTGGCATTTGCCACCGACGACGCCATTTTGTTTCGCTGCTGTTGCTGTTGCTGTTTCCTGCCGCTGCCGCTGCCGCTGCTGCTGTCTAATTACAATAACAAATGCATGGACCCCGGCAGTACATATCAAAACCACCCTCCCCCCACGACCCCTTGTCATGCAATTTAATTACCCGGGCATCGATTTATTTGGCCCAACGCTAGGCTACACTTTTAATTAGCAAAGTGCCATGCACATGCACGCACACACCATCCAACCGTTGACGATGACGATGACGATGACGATGAGGATGAGGAATGGTGGTCAGGGGTTAATGCGGGGGCTTAAGGGGTTAAAAGTCGGTGCCAGTTTCCGCCTGTTACGATGCCACAAACTAAACTAAACAACTAAACATTAGAGAGAAAGGCATCGAAAACCTAAGGAACCAACTTGAATCAATTAAATTTGCAGGCCATAAAAATACAAATATTAAATCAATAATAAGGAATTATAAATAATATATTGCATGGAGATATAAACAAATTATTCTCTCTGTGTGTGGCTCTATAAATAAATCCTTGAAAATCCCAAGGAGCTGAGTAAAGCAAAAAAAAAAAGGTTACCCTTAAGCGAGGCCATCCCCTTTTGAGGTTTTTATTTACACAATTCTCAAGCCATTTAATACGGCCAAAAACAGCCGCAAAATGAACTGAGCCAGAGAAGGAACTCCAACATTTTTCCCCCCTCATATCCTGGCCATTCAACACTCCTCACTTCTTCCCAGTAAGAAAAACATTCCCCGAAAAATCTTGGGGACAAGCGACAGAGAAACCGCCCCATGCTCCAAAGATAAAGTCGAGGCGAGCCGTTAAAAAGGCAAAGAAACCAACACAAAAAATAAAAGGGCAGCAACTGACACCTTGTCCTGTGAAAAGGACACGCCTGTCTGTGAAAAGCGAAGGAAATTTTTGGGGTAAGAGGAAAGTCATGCCAAATTGTGCACAATTTGCTTTTGGCTTGCCTTCTGTTCTTTTCAATTCTTTTTTTTTTTGTTGTTCTTTCTGCTTCCCCCCGTTTGTTTTTCCTAGCAGGCCTGTGAAATGTTTGGTAATTGTGGAAGGCAGATTGAGGGGATTTTCACCATTTTCCGCAAGCAACAGGCGGGAGTATTGTGCAAATTACAGTTATCATAATTTTGACATTGAGGCAGGAAAAATTCTAACAAAAGGACTTTGATTGGTTATGGAGTTAAGGAAGCTGGCGATACTTTTACTAAAGAAATATATTATATGGATTTGAGTTTTTAAATGAATTATAAAAAGGTATGAGGCTTAAAAAAATAACAGAAAAATCACCAAGAACCTTTTGCTAGTGAGTTGAATGAATTTCTGACCCTCCTGAGTTGGTCTAAACGAATGGGAAATTCCCAATTAGGTTGCCTGAAAATGCAGAGCGGGAAATCTGCCACGGAAAATGTTCAACTGAAAAGCGAAAGATGTCCACAGAGAGATGGGAAAAGAGGAAATGTACAACGACTGACGTGAACGCGGACACGCATCCATTTGGCATTGGCCGAATGATGACAATGAATGAATCCTCGGCGAGACACAGACACGCCTCCATCCTTCCGTTTTTCCCTGTCGGAAAACCGCTTATGTCCACCGACCTCCCCTGTCCTCCCCCATTCCTCCACGACCAGCCGAGGCTTTGGTTTTTGCGGTTCCACCGCAGCGGATGCGTAGCCCCTGCGTTGCCTCAATCGAAACCCCAAAAATGCCTCCTCCTCCTGTCTTTTTTGGCCTGAACCAAAATGACCAGCGGAATTGGGCTTAGTGCTTGGCTGGGACTTCGGGAAAAACCAAACACCCATCTTCAGTAGGCGGTGATTGAATTATGGGTTGTGTGATTGATGGGGTGTCATGGCATTCAAACATTTTTTCTTTTGTTCTAATTAAAACGAAACGAGGAGAAACTTTGGAATAGAAATCAAACCAAAGAAAAGAAACTTTAATGGGTATAGATAAATCAATCTCAAGTCCTTATTAAAAGCTTTATTTATTAGGAATTTCTTAAGATTTCTACTGCCTTAACTGAACTCTATTGTTTTATATATTTTTTCATAATGTAGCTCTTTGTTATCACCCCTTCCATTAAGTGGATTCCCCTCTCTCTCTCTGTTTAACTTCATTTAACTTCCGCACCAACTGACAGTTTATTAAACACTTTAAGACAAAAGCACAGGACAAATGCTGACAACAACAAACCTCACAACATAAAAAAAGAGACTAAAAAACTGAGGAATCCGCTTCTATTTGGTGAATGAAAACGATGACGAAGCCACGCTGATGAACTGCTGACAATTTGTGCAGCGCTTAACAAGCGGTTAAAAGGATACAAAAGCCTGTCGAGCACACAAAAACCAACAACTGACAAAGGACGATGAGTGAAACAGACAAAACGAATACCAAAATAAACAAAAAATTGAGATGACAGCAGTGCAAAAAGTGCCCTCTGAATGATACAAAAATAAATGGGAAAAGGAAACAGGATCAGGATCAGGAGCAGGAGCAGGACCAGAGGAGCAAAGCCGGCAAAACTTTTGCCACTCGGCGGACGCAACTTGACTTGGGCGATAATTGAACAAATTGTTTCGAGTGCAATCCCAAGGATGGGATATGAAGGGAACCAGAGGTCAAGTGCCAACAAGGGCCAATAAGAGCCACCACTTGAGGAAAAACTTTTGCTTCCTTGTTGGGAAAAGCTAAAGATGGGGCCTGTTCCCGGAAGTTGCCTCTGAAAACCTGGCCAGCGAAGAGTTTAAGGAGTAGCAGGTGTCTTCTCAAGACTTAACATTTGCTTTACAAGTTAATATTGATAAATAATATTATAAAATATATGTTGAAAACAAAATCAACCTAAAAATTTACTATATAACAATAGGTTATAAACTATTTTAACTCACCTCTACCGCTCCTTCCGACGAATCGCAGGTCATTGAACTTGGCCACCTGATTCTTCATCACCGCCGTACAATTGCGCAATTCCGCACAATAATTCTCATCGTTGCCCGCTCGGACGGTGACCATCGTTCCATCCATTATATCGCCCAGGGAGACCACCTTAAAGGCCACCGGCAACGTCTTATTGGAGCGCCAATGTGGTGGCAGGACGGTGCAGACGAAGAGCGGACTGCTGGTGCGGATCAATTCGCCGGGATGTTCGGTGAGAAAGTCGCCCAGTGTCCTTTCCGCCAGGATATCCGAGGTCATTTTCGTATAGGCCTCGTTTAGCAGTTGGGCGGGTGTTGGTGGTGTATTTTGTTCTGTGCTATTGTTGTTATTATTGCTGCTGCTGGAGTTGTTGTTGGTGCCATTGGTGTTGTTGCTGGTGTTGTTGTTGCTGCTGGAGTTATTATTATTGTTGTTGTTGTTGGTTGTGTTATTGTTGTTATTATTATTGTTGTTATTGTTGGCATTAGATGCCGTTGAATTGCTCGATGTTGTTGTTAAATGCATTTTGTTATAATTGTTGCTATCGCCGGTGTAAGGATTATAGTGGTGTTGATGCTGCTGTTGTTGTTGTTGTTGTTGAAGTTGCTGTTGCTGTTGGTGAAGTTGCTGATGTTGCTGCTGCTGCTGCTGCTGCTGCTGGTGATGATGTTGCTGATGATGATGTTGCAGTTGCTGCAACTGTTGCTGCTCCTGCAATGGATGATGCAACTGGTCCTGCTGCTGCTCAAACTGCTCCAGTTGCCCTTGAGCGTGAGCCTGCACTTTTTTTAATCGCACAATTTTGTCGTTGTTTAATCAAACTGCTGCGTTGGAAAACAATTTCAGTATACTCAGGATCAATTATCCCGCTTAGTTATGCACAAGCTGCAAATAAAATTAGGAGAGTTATACACATTAGAATTAACGAAATATATAGGGTAAGTCTTAATTTAGTTATACATCCTGCCTTTAAATTGAATTCAAACCCCAAAAGAAAACTCCTAGTGGCTTTATTGACTGAGAATACCCCAATAAACTGTACCATTCTGAGGCTGAGGGCCACGATTAGGTCATCAATCTACCCCCCGACTGACTTCAATTTGAAGTTTGCGCCCGATGCGACACCATTAAATTCCCACATAGCCAACCGAGGTCCGAGGCCTGTTAATGTCTTTAAATCACGGCCCCAAAATGGCATATTACATGGGTGAAGCCCTTGCCCCTCAAAAACTAGGGAGAGAGAGAGAGAGCCTGGACTGCATTCTGCAGTCTGCTTCGGGATGCTGGCATGTCCATGGGCATGGCCACCATAAACACAAATCAATTGTCAACCACTCGCCGGTCTGGGGCGAAGGCTTCAGACGGCCGGCAGGACTCGGATTCGCAGGATTGGATGGCACTGGACGGCGTTGGGTTGGGTGCATGAAAGCTGGGGACCTTCATATCCCAGCGGAACGCAATTTGCGTTGCACTTTTCAATTTCCGGCAAAAGGACTTCATCGCACTCCCACTTCCCGCTTCCCATCCGATGAGCATCGACCATGCAACACTATCCCAATGCCAACGCAAATCTAGTGGCATGCGGCATGCGAACGAAAAGGACGAAGGACCCTGCACTCGTCACTCGTAACCAGTGTCAAAATGATTGTGGACTCACGGGTGAGAATTTGTGGTTTGATACTTGCATATTTTGTCACTTGTCGACATTCGTGCAGGACACCGAAGGACTCCGAAAGGAGTCGGAGTTTGCACGGATACAATTGCACAGGACGAAGGTACATCCAAAATTGTTGCTTTATTAAGATGAAAATTTTTGTAATTTAATAATGAGAACTTTTTGAAATATATCAGAAAGCCAATTGATTAGTTTCCTATGCTTCCAAATTATATTTAAAGTGATCTGAAAAAGAAGTTTTACTTATATAAACTAAGTACTTTCAGCATTGAATGCAGTTTGAAATTATAATTAATATTTCTACAACTATTATTTTGTATTCAATATTTACTATCGATTCCTTTGGCTTAATTTCCAGTGTTCCCAGAAATCTGAGCTTCAGTTTCCTTCTTTTTTTTCCCCCATCACTTTTGACCCGCAGACTCGCTTAACCCTCCTGCTGACCGATAAAAATTACTTAAAAATGCCACAGCTCATGGGTTGACTTTTGGCCAACAAGGAACAAAAAAATAAAAAAAGAAAGGAAACACGGAAAAAACAGGAAGGCTGAGAAACAAAAGGAAAAGGCACGGAAAAAATACGGTACACAAAATAACCGTCGACTGTCACACACAAAGGGAAATCATGGAAATGGTGGAAAAATCGCGACAAATGGGACCGGGTGAAGAGGGGGAGGTTAACAGGCAGAAGGACCAAACAACAACAATATCGGTGAAGTGGAGGTGGAGGAGGTGGAACAATGCCAAAGAGGAAATCGCGGCGAACATCCAACGGAAGCCAAACGTGTCGCCGCGAGTCCAGACAACAACACAAACCCCGGAAAAATGAGGAGGAGCAAATGCGCGGGAAAAACAGCAATGAGAGGGCCACCGAAGGGTGGAAAAGTGTCCACCATGGGCATGGGTTAATGGCTGTCGTGGCCGATGGTCATGTCCAGCTCCAACGTCATTTTGCCTTTCATTTCGCCCGGCCAGCCTTTTATTGTAAATTTACTTTATAAAGGTTATTACCGAGCTCGAGATGAAAAAGATATATGGGTTTGGGAAGGGGCGACGTATAAAAACCCCGCGGATGTAGGTGAGATAAGCGGTAAGAAGGAGGTGGTCACAAGTGGACCAGACCGGACTGTCAAATTAAGTCGAACAGTCGGCTTGAGTGGACACACCGATCTCCTGCAGTGGGTATGTTTGAGAAGCGGGGAGAACGGTTCATATATGGTGAAATTTAGAATACTTTAGGAACCTTTTAGGGTTACTTTCATTACTATTGTAAATTAAAGTTTAAGTAAATAACTATTATAATTGTATTATTGTAATTATAATAAAAAAGCATGGAGAGTTTTCATAGCATTTCAGTAACTCTTTTGTTATCTGGAATTTATACCAACCCATTAGAAAGCTTATATTATATATATTATTTATTTTAGGCATTACAAATTCTTTAAAAGAAGTCAAAGAAATTTTTCTCTTCCATAATTACAGGACATTTACCAGTTAGTCAAGTGAGACCCCCAAATATTGGCAACTCCAACAAGCTGGGTAAAGAGAATACCCAAGGAGTGAAAAAATCAGCGACAAGTGCTCGACAAACGCGCCATAATCCGTGCTCTCCGTCACCAAAAAGTGCCAGGACATGGATGCCCAAAACAATAACAACAACAACAACAATCAAAAACACCAACAACTACACCAACAATATCCCGTGGAGAGTCACGCGCGGTTTGTCACCTCTCCTGGTAGCTGGCTATTGGCATACACTGCAGAAATCAAATAATACTTCAATTCTAAATGACTGTGGATATTTTTGAGGATCAAAGAAATCCTTTTTATTGTACAAAAACTTTCCCACAGTGTAATTTTAAAAGTGTGTGTGTGTAATATTCCTCTTTTTTTCGTTGTTTAGAGAGGGCCAGACTTTCGGGACTGAGGGGCTAAATCAAAATTCATGGCTGCTGTTAAAACTGGCGACCGGGTATCAATAGACAAGGACCCAAGGACCGTTACACGCAAGTTTAACCCTTTGATGGTGAGCCCGGTTACCCGATGGCCGGCCGGCTGGACGGCGTCCGGAAAATTCGCCAACACATGTACAACATGTAAATTGTTTCAATTTGCGGCATTTGCCGTAAAGCTGCGCAATTTTCGACATGCCACGGATACACATAGAGTTCCATCTGCCACCCCTCGTTGGCTGTGTGTGCGTGAGTGGGCGTCCTTTGTTTTTATATTTTTATTTTCATTTTCATTTTCGTTTTTTTTTTTTTTTGTATATCCCGGCCATAGTTTGGCATGTCCAGCTGCCGTGGCTCCCAGGGAAAACCCCTCGGAAAATGGCCCGAAGAGTGGCAAACCCAAATCCTAAACTTGTTAAATGTTATAGGTATAGGTATATGGCATATATACATATATGGGTAAGGGCTACTGGCGTTGCTACTTTGATGTAGTTAAATTTTAATTGGACTTTGGGTTTTTAACTCCCTTACCCAGGGATAGCTACAACAATGTCCAGAATGTGTGTTCGGGAATTCCTGTATTAACTTAACCAAAAAAAAAGGAAGAAGGAAGATGTCCTGGTTAATAGGTGCTAGAGAAAGTCAATGGATTTTGGGATGTGGCTTATAAGAGGCTTAAATAAGAGCTTCAAGAGGGTAGCTATGGAATTGTTAGAATTGTTTAATTAATAATATATAAAATTTAGCAAAACAATGGTTTAATTTGTTATATTTTTAAAATGTTTCAAACTAAATCCACAATATCTTAATTTGTTTAATTTGTAAAGTGTTTATGTCGGAATTACGTAAGAGAAACAATTGCCTAAAATCATATAAATTAAACAAAAACCATTTTAAAAATATATAAATTTAATATATTTCCTGTTCCACTCTTTATAAAATCTTATTGTTTATGGATCATATTTTTAACCATAAGCTATAAAAACTATGTTATTTCCGAATTCCCCAAAAAATAAGCAAAACAAAAAAGAAATAGAACTCTCTTCCTGCAAAACCAATAAATCCCAGTTTTAATTTTCCCCCAAACCAATCAATTTATCTTTCTCTCTCTTTGGCTAAACAAAAACCCAGAAATTAACAACATTTGCTAACTGAGAACAAATTAAGTCATACATTGTTTATAAGTGCTCAAAGTGGGCAACGCAACGTACCGCAAAGCCCCAGGATCCGGGGATTCCAGGACTCTAGGACTACAGGACTCGAGTGGGTACGTCGGTCTCTCTGTTCGCTTTAATGCCTAAATCAACTAAATTTGCGGGCAGCAAACTTATTTCCGGTATGCCCAGAACACTTAGGCCAGAAACACACACACAGCAGTCGTCGTTGGTCGCCCACAGAAATCAAGAGTCCTACAAGGAAAGAGGACACCAAAATTCAACCATAAATTGATGCAGTAACACGCCCTCCACTTCATCCACCAACGAACAACTGCAGTTCTCCATCAGCAAAAAAAAAAAAAAACATCACCCAAAAAAAACAAAAATAGAGAAGCACAAGGATGCATCCTTTCCGAACTGCAGTCCGAATGCAGTCCTTTGCTGTGCCATGCCATGCCATGCCATGCAATGCAATCCTTCCGTCCTGTCCGCTCGTCCGTCCCAAGCCCAAAAAGCGAGCAACCAACAATGCCAAGTTTTCGGTCAACTTTCGGCCAAAACAATGCCCAATCCTGTGTGTTAAGCCCCCAGAGACCCCCAGTCCAACTTGGCCTCCATCGACACCCTCCTCCCCCAGAAAAAAAACCCACAGAACACACACGGGCCACGCATCTTGTGCTCGTCCTTGGTCCTGGCACTCTTTTCCGACTGCGTTTGCACTGCCAGAAAATCAAGGTAGAGTTCTTTTTGAAAAGATAGTCGTCACTTTCCTAACAAACAAGTTGTGAACGATTTTGGGCAGTGCAAGTGTGCCGGCATTAATAACGTGTG